CTGGTTTATATAGTCAGGGTACTGTAGCCTACTCCCCTGGCCTCTGATATATACATTACTATACGATCTGTACCACATATATATAGAGATGTGATATATACATCACTATATGGTCTGTACCACATATATACAGGGTGTGATTGAGATGTGATATATACATTACTATACTGTCTGTACCACACATATACAGGGGGTGATTGAGATTTGATATATACATTGTTATGGGTTGTTTTTTCTTTACTAAAATTTGAAAATTTTAGCAATTTTGATTGATGTGAGATAGAGATTTGATATATAGATTGTTATGGGTTGTTTTTATTTTCTGTTGGTGATGTTTCAAGTTTTGTTTTTCTAAAATTTGAAAATTTTAGCAATTTTGATTGATGTGAGATTGAGATTTAATATATAGCTATGGGTTGTTTTTCTTTACTACTGTGATGTTGCAATGGTTATTCTAAAATTTTAGCAATTTTGATAGATTTCAATATTTGCAAGAAGTGTTGTGGTGATCTAAAAATAAGACCTTTAACCACTACAGATGAGTGGTCTAGAGACCTGCACATTTTAGGAAATACTATCCATTTGACAACTCAGATACATCGTGAGATTTAGCAATCTACGTGGGGACTCTGTCGGACAAAAGATTGGATTTTTATATGGGAATTGATCTTCCAAATATTTCGACTTCACACAAGAAGTGTAATGACCAACAATTCAAAATTTGTTGGAACTGAAGATGTAAACTTTCTTCCATAGCTTAGTAAAGGAGACTCATAACTACTACAGCACATCTTTCTTCCAAATAACTAGAACAAAAAAAAAAAAGTTGAGGGTTAAATCAAAATCCAAGCAGGTACCCAAAAGTAAGTTTAGCTAATTTATACAAGCAAGCAAGCACAAACAGTGACATCATCATCGACGCGTCCATCAAGTTGCTCGATCTTGTAAGATGATGAAACACTGCATTCTATAACATTGGATGCATGCAGGATCAATTTTGAGCAGGGTTACCGATACGCAATGGGATGAGTGGAAGCAAAACTGCGAATTGCCGAGATAGAGAAGAAAATCCTCAGTCCGAAATCTGGGGGCATCATCATGTTTTAAATACAATGGGATCGTTTTCCAGATTTCCAACTGATCCAAGCTGGTGTTGGTGTCCAAACAAGAACCCAACAGAAGAATCGACAAAGGAAAACCACTTAGCAATGTCATAAGCAAACACAGACGATTGTTGTAGGAAGATGAATCTGGCCCAACCGGCCGTAACCACCCTTCAAAACCCCCTAGGGATGTTGTGGTAAAAAACGGCACTGCTTTTGTTGGTTGCGATAATAAAACCGTCGGAAACAGTTGCATGAGATCGAACGTCTGTATACTCTCTGAAACACAAGTAGGAAGGAGCACCAATAAATGTCCAAGCATCGTGTTCTGGGTAGATTACCTCTAAATCATGGCCGCCTTTATCTCCACTGAGAACAAAAACCCTGTCATCATAGGGCTTCAAAGGCTTGATCACGACGGGTTCGCACTTGCAAGTTTGCATATTTTGTTTTGCTCGGAAATCTCAAGTCACAGTATCATACACCCAAACCTCACTAGTTTGTTCCCTTCCAGAACCAAGCATATAAATTCTGGATCCAAAAGAGGAAAAAACCATACCGTGCTGGAACTCTTTTCCCAAAAGAAGCACCGCCTCATCCAGATCCAGCATAATGGGTGCCGGAATTGTTGCCGCCGGACGAGAAACTGCTGTCCAGTGGGAGAAATAACTAAATAGGGAGACGTCATCCATCTGTATGCGGTACAAAGCATAATTATACTCCTTCGATGTAGCATAAACAACCATGTATAGACAATTCTTCTTGCTCGACCATCCCAATGTATTCATTCTTCTTACGGGCTAGGCGTGAGAAAATCACTTTGTATTTATCGGAAGAGGGAGTCAAAGTGAGAGAACCTTACACGATGGGAATCAGAAAACTAGTTCAGATGAACTGGAAACCCTAGAGACGGCTGGAGCAGAGAGATGGCGGAAACCCTAGAGACAATTTGTGTAGACAATGTTAGCCCGGATGGCATCAGATATATTTTATGCGTTATGTTAACAAAAATTTATTTTGAAATTTTTGAAAATTTACTATTTTATTGTTATACTCCGTAGTATGGTATATGATATATGTTGATGAGTCATTTTACCTAACGCTAGATTCTCCAAGTATTCTGAACTTCCGATAGTAAATATAAAGAAATCCGAATCACGCTCATCTATTGAATATAATTGAATAGAATATAATTGAATAAAAGGGATTAGGTTTTTATGTATAAGACCAATATAACTCATAGTTATGGATGGACCAATTTAACTCGTTATCATACACTATGTCTTTATTTACAGATGCAAACAAATAAATACCTTGTAGCAACGAAAATTTTAGTTGTAACAAATTTATCAATATGACAAGTTTTATTTCGTTACTATACTATGATAATAGGTACCTAGTTAGTGAGCTATGAACAATCTTTTAACTTTTGATAAGATTTTAATGTAAATTAGTGCCAGGATCGTTGATATGAAAAAATTGTCATTCTAGTTTTTAGGAAAAAATTTCTAACAATTTATGCTGCAAAGAGAAAATGTATCTTAATTAGTATGATAATTACAACCAATCAACCCTAACTTTCTACATTCTTAAACTTTATATGGAGGTTACCAAAGGACAAGTGATTTGAAGGACTTCGGAAGGACCTTCTTGTACTGCTCTACTAGGTTCTCTTTCTCTTACATTGTAAGTATATAAATGACTGAACTTTTGTAGTCATTATTTTCTTCTTCTTTTTTATTTTTTTATATGAACTTTTATAGTCAAATTCAAAGTTGAAGTTTATGTAGAGATTTTTATTTATTTATTATTATTATTATTATTATTGTTATTGGCAAGAAAACACACATACACCTACTTGGGCCTATGGAGAATTGAACCCTCACCCACTTTGCCCCAATGTGAACTTGAACTCTTCCTTCTATTTTTGAAGTCGAGGAAGTAACTGTAGATTTTGGTTCCAATAGAGTTCAATTATCTGATATATAGGAAAAGCAAATCCATTTTGAGCTTATAGTTATCATATTGCTCCAAACAGATTGGAATATGATCAAAAAATTTCAGTTTGTGTATCAATTCATTAGATTTCTTATATGGAGAGCTTGCTTTGCTGCTTCTCACTCTGAGAAGGCTCTCTTTTGAAATTGTTTTTTGAAGATCCTAATTGAGTGTTCCTCATGCTGAAACTTATACAAATTTGGTTCATATTTCAAGTGCATTATAGGATACAACAGTATATGCTGACACTCTTTCTCTCTCGTAGACACACACACACACTACTTGCTTTAATATATCCGGTTTTGATGGTTCACATGTAGTAGACCATAGAAACAAAGATGGTATGATTGAGAAAAAGAGAGAAGATTTGCTTTCTTGCCAATGGCACTTGAGATTATAGCGAGTCCTGTAAAACCTGCAAAAACAACAAATGCGTAGTATTATATATTGTATTTGAGTTATAGATCTATTTGTGTAATATGGAAAACAAATAGTACCAGAATCGCATCCAACTGTAATGGTTTCATTGATCCTGCACAGAGGCCTTCTTGACAAACTTGTAGTTGCTCTTACCTGAATGAATGCACATGAGCACTGCCTTGGTGTGTTCTGCACACCCTCCTGGTTTGCAGTAGTCCCCTGTGTCGGCTCTGGTCACGTTAATCCAACCTTCTTCAGTTAACTGGTACTTGTCTGGGCAACTATTCGACGTCTATCACATGATCAGCAAGGCCTATCAGTGTAAAATACTAGAGTGTACCACCAGGTGACTGCTCTAAAATTTGAAACCATGTTTGCAACGAACAATAATCCATATCATGAAATTTAGATTAGGGTCCTACGACAAGTATTGGTTGTTATATGATCGAGCAAGCTGGATCATAGATTTACAGCCATCTAATATCACTTCATCTGCAAAAAGAAATATTTCAATAAACATAAAGATAGAACCAATTAGTATCGGATCCTCACACAAAATTGACCTCTCTTCTGTGCGTGTGAGAGAGAGAGAGAGAGACCAGCATGGTTGCCACAAAATAGCAGGAGAATGGTTACCAAGAAACCCCAAAGAAAGCAACTCCTTCCGACAGCTGTCCTGGATTTCTCCATCTCCAAGCAAAATGTACCTCTTTACAGACAGTATCTCAAGCTTAAACAACCTTAAAGTGACTTTGCAACCTTAAACATGAAAGACAAAAAAATGTGAAGAAACCTATGGAATCCATTGACTTCACCTAGATGCCAAATGACAGGAACCTCCAAAGAAAACCTTTGGATAAAACGTCGACAGGCTACATTGAGTGATTGAAAAGAGTATCTAAGCGGATGACCCAATACATATGAGCTATACAAGTAAAATAAATTGTGGTGCTGGAAGCATTATACAGAAGAATCCAATATATTTGCAGATCAAATACAAATCAATAAAAACATTGCATTATACAGAAAAATCCAATATAATTGCAGATCAAATACAAATACATACAAACATTGCATTAAACATAGATAACTGGAAATGCATATAAGAAGATACATGACAAATTAATGATGCAACCACATATGGGTATCAGATATATTGGCATTATTGACAGTCTAAGCCAATAATAGCACAGCCAAACCAACGCAAGTGTACTTCTCAGTTATTTTCATCATCTCTTGGAGCCAACGACATTATGAATAATTCGTTGGTCACGAAGGGAATTTCTTGTGTAACAAAGCAATAGCTAATTATAGAAGTTCCAAAGAAGACAAAGAACCAACATTCCTTTGGGCTGTTCAATTATAGAAGTTATGAAGAAGACAAAGAACCAGCATTCCTTTGGGTTGCTCAATCCATCATTATATATTGGCACACCTTTCGATCATAAATCTACTTAACTCACTGGTAATATTGTAGCCATGTCTGATGAAACCCGAGCTGTGTTCTCGGCCCTTGACAATGCTAGGACTCAGCTCTACCATTTTAAGGCAATTGTTATTGCTGGGATGGGATTCTTCACTGATGCTTATGATCTGTTTTGCATCACTGCAGTCAGTAAGCTTATAGGCCGCCTTTACTACTATGATCCATCGAAACACGACCCTGGAAAGGGCCCAGGTCCTGGTGCTCTCCCAATCAATGTCAACAATGCCATCACTGGTGTCGCTTTATGTGGAACCCTGGCAGGGCAGCTCTTCTTTGGATGGCTCGGGGACAAACTCGGGAGGAAGAAGGTTTATGGCATCACTCTGGTCACCATGGTGGGGTGTGCAATTGCTTCAGGCCTTTCCTTTGGCTCCACAGCAAAAGGTGTGATCACTAGTCTCTGCTTCTTTCGGTTCTGGCTGGGGTTTGGCATCGGAGGGGACTATCCTCTTTCAGCTGTAATAATGTCAGAATACGCCAGCCAAAAAACGCGAGGGGCGTTCATTGCTGCTGTCTTTGCAATGCAAGGAGTAGGAATTCTCGTTGCAGGGATCGTGGCCATGATTGTATCCACCGCGTTCTTGCATGCTTACCCTGCTCCCAAATTCCGGGATGACCATGTCATGTCCACTCAGCCAGAAGGGGATTTTGTGTGGCGGATTGTGCTGATGTTTGGTGCTGTTCCAGCAGCACTGACCTTCTATTGGCGTTTGAAAATGCCAGAAACTGCTAGGTACACCGCCTTAGTGGCGGGAAACCACAAGAAGGCAGCTGCAGATATGGCAAAAGTCCTGGAAACAGTCATACCTACTGGAGAATCAAATTCTAGGCAGGTTCAAGTTGATCCCAAATCCTCATATAAATTAGTCTCCAGAGAGTTCCTGAGAAGGCATGGACTTCACCTTCTTGGAACTACCAGCACCTGGTTCTTGTTGGATATTGCCTTCTATAGTCTCCAACTGACTCAGAAGGATATTTATCCAGCCACAGGAATGGTACATAAGGCCTCAAGCATGAATGCAATAGAAGAGGTATACCAACTTTCTAGAGCAATGATCTTGGTTGCGCTTTTTGCAACTGTGCCCGGTTACTGGTTCACTGTTTTTCTCATCGATAAGATTGGAAGGTTCATAATACAGCTCGGCGGATTCCTCTTGATGTCCATTTCCATGGCAATAATGGGAATTAAATATGAAGAATTTAGAGGTTATAAAGGTGATAAGCCAACTGATCCGTGTCACCCAGGTCCAGACTTTGACTTCTGTGGTGGAAAGCAAAAATTATTCCCCTTCCTCTTTGGAGTGACCCTTTTTTTTGCAAATTTTGGACCCAACAGCACGACATTTATTGTGCCAGCAGAGCTTTTCCCAGCAAGGTTTCGGTCAACTTGCCATGGGATATCAGCAGCAGCAGGAAAAGCAGGAGCCATTATCGGTGCATTTGTGGTGCAGAATTATACTCAAGACGCAAAAGGTATCAAACAGGCAATTATAGGGCTATCTGTGGTGAATTTGATTGGATTCTTCTTCACTTTCTTAGTGCCAGAAACAAAAGGCCGGTCACTTGAAGAAATTTCCGGAGAGGACAAGGATCTTGGTGCCGGTGGGAATGAAGTCTATGGAGACGACAAGAATCTTGGTGGCGGTGGGAATGAAGCCAATGGAGATGACAAGACAAGGAACAACAGTACTGAAATGTTACCAGCTTCTGATATGGTTTAGTTCTTAGGAGCTCATTGCCAAGAATCCAAGTGATAAACACAGAATAACAATCTACAAGCAAATTTCTATATCCTTTTGCACCTTATTTTGGAATAATGTGTGTCTTAGTTATTATCATTGTACAAGAAGGTGATTAGTAAATTTAAAATGAAAGCTGGTTTGTATATGTAAAATTGAAACTTAAACTTGTCTATTGTACCAGCATTTATATATATCATCTCATGTGGTTTGACATGCTTATGGGATTGAAACTACGTAAAAGACCTCAGTGGGATAACCTAATAATAATATAAAACGAAAAAGAAAGAGAAAGAAAGAACGAAATAGAAGTTCTCGCAGACCATGATTCCTACTTAGGTCTCATGTTTCTAACTACTGACATAAACAAATTCAAGCACATAAGTATGCAAATGCATTTCTGAATCTTTTAGCCATTTCGACCAATGTAAAGTTCCAATTCAGTCTACTTTCCAACATATGTCATCGATGATATTACATTTTATCCAAGACATAATGCATTTTGATCCTAATTTTCCTTCTTAGTTGGTACTCACACACAAGTGTTTACATTGAGGCTCGAACCCTTGACGTCTCTTTGGAAAGTAGGGATCTGGTACCGCTAGGCCACTGGTCTGTTAATATTAGGAATAATTCATGAAGGTTTTAATCTTTGAAGAATAATAAGAGTGGTACTCGAGCCACATTCTATTATGTGAAAAGAAGCCTACTATTGGCAGTATGTGTCAAATACTTTCGACGGCACATAGGTATTTTCATCAGAAACACAATCTAGAATGGCCACAAGAATAAATAAGACACGATTTTATTGCTTTCAAACATCTAAAAAGAGTGAATATGAACCCTAAAACTGGAATTATGTATCTAGACAAGTTTACTCCCAATTAGCATATAGCTCATACATAGAAACCAACATTGTGGTCAATCTCAACTTCTTCACTCATTATGTGAAATTATAAAACTCTGAAAGAACCATATATACAGGACATTAGCAGCGATTTCATGAATTAAAACACAACACATAGAAATGATAGTAAATTAGAAGAACATTACAATTTCGAACCGTAAGCTCACACAAATAATGCACCTTCTCAAGGAAGCCAAAACACATTAAACTAAAACCCTATATCTAAATTTCTATCGTTTAATAACGCAAAATCAAAACAATACACGAGCCCTCATAAATTCGATCATATGTATATATACACGAAAATTAATTAAAATTTTAGGTGTTGGGTACAAGCAAACTCAAATATTGAACTATAATATAAAATGAAACCTAACAAAGTTCACAGAGAAATACGTTATATATAATATTTTTACTTACACATGCGCATAGGACTGAAGAGAAGAAGAATGGACTTCACTTTTGTTGCATAGGTTATTGTCCCACATTCAATCCGCATGGAGGAGATAACGGTCTTACATTGAGAAGGTATTGGCTGGGTGTGCTGCTTATTCGAGTCGTATGTGCACAACAGTTACCTGTGCGTGCATAGTATTTATAATTGGGATGAGCCCGGCGTATAGTATGTCCCGTGAGTGCACAACATTTATAACTGGGATAAGCCCGGTCCACCTCAGGAGCACCAATATCTACGGGGCATGGACCAAACTTGTTACTTTATTAATTGTCTAATTTCTAAGTCTATTCGTTTATTATGTATTGGCAATGCTTCGTATGTCTCTTTAGAGGATTTGCATTTACAGTAATACCCTTAATCATTTTGATGAATGAATTGAGAATTGTACAATTATTTCCTTTGAAAAAATAATTGACAAACAAGATTTTGAGTGGGAATTCATTTGAAGGACATACAAATGACTATAATTTTAAAACATAATAGACGACTTGGGATGCATGAAATTATTTTGTATTGCCATCATATCTTTTATTACTATTACAATACTAACATTCGTCCATTCCTATTACTTTCAACGTCTCAATATGGATCGTTTCACTCTTTATTGGATAGAGTGTCAATTAAAAGGAAAAAAAAATAGATCGCTCCATTAATATATTTTGAAGATTAAGATTCAATTTTAATTTGTGTAGTATTTTAAAATTTTTGAATTTTAATAATAATAATAGTAATAAAGTCCATGTCAACAAGCACATTTCATTAAGAGAGAACAAATTGCAAATTTATTTAAAAAAATGTGGGTGCTAAGGTCCCTAGTTGCATCCTATGAAAGTTGCAGCCTTAACAAGGAAGCCAAAGAGCAAAAAAGGGGTGGAGAAAAAAGGGCTGTGATCACTTTCCAAAACATACACACGGGATGGAGGCCACCTCTTTATCATTGAATCTTGCTGCTCTGGTTTCACCACTCTATCATACATCGTTCTGATGTATACACGTGGCACCTTATCCACGTCATCACCCTCACTGAATCGAGCTGATTGTAATGCTTGAATGGGTCCTGGCCTTAGAAGCATTCCAGCTAATGTTGAATCCTATAAGCAAACCATAATCAAACATGTAGGCAAGCAACAACATATATGGTAACATTTTTTGTTTTTTAATTTATTATTTTTTCCATATATGGAATTTCCTCTCTATGGTAAGTTAATATGAAGCCTTGTTAATTAGGGACAGAGTCAGAATTTGATTTTAGGGGGTACAAAGTAATAATTTACAAATTATAAATTTATATGTATAAAAAAATTCAAACTCAGGGAATGTTATAGAAAGAAAAATAAAATTCAAGGGGCACAAAGTAATATTTTATAAATTATGTACCTAAATGTATAAATAAAATTAGTGGGGCAGCCGGGGTCGGGGCACTAAGTTGGCTCCATCCCTATCGCAGATCATACTGACATCACATCGCTTAGGGCTGATACACGCAAGAGTGTGTCGGGCCACCTCAACTGTGTTAGCCCTACACACCTAAGGCTATGTGTGTGGAGAAATTATTAATTGGTGTGAAACAATGTCGTCCCAACTAATCAGAAAATACCATATAACTAAGCAAAAATGTTGAATAAAATTGACATTGAGGTTTCTTGATTAGCCGAATATAACACATTTGATTAACTAAGCAAAAAAGTTGATTAATGCGGATTATGTATAACATAAATTTAATTGTGTAATATATATAAATGATGATAGTGTTTAGTAAAAAAATAAAAAAAATTGGCAAATGATGTGAAGAAGTACCTCTTGAGGGGTCATGTGATAAATGATTTTTCGTTGAAATTCTTTCTTGACAACAAGACTGGTTGGTGGATGATCAGGTCCGGATCCAAATTCAAAGTCATACACATCACCAAATTCAGATAAATCTGGCACTCCCTGTTCAAACATGAAAATGTTAAAAAGAAGGACAAAATAATCAAACTTTAACAATAATTTTTTTATTTTCTTCAATATTGCACCTTGCTGAATTGTTTTTGGGTGGAAATATTTAGCTAGTTATCAACAGTTGGAAGCACAATGAAGGTGCAAGCATGGAAGCCTATCCGTGTGGGGTCATTTCATGCCTAATCCAGCAAAATAGCATTCATTTGTCTGGGTCAATTGTCAAAATGCATCAATTACACACACACGCACACACACAAATTGGTAAGGACATGAAAAAAGGGTTGTGGATTGAGAATAGTTCAAATGGGATGCCAACAATATATAGGATTAGTACAAAAGTTTCCACCAACATTGGAGAACTGTTGGGCCCTTAGACAAACTAACAAAACCAAAAAATTCAAAAAAATTAAAATAAGTAAAATTATTTGATTGATTATTCATGATTCACATAAATAAATCTATAAGAGATCGTATGACAACCCAAGAATCCGTTAGGAACAAATTGTTTGCATTTAGATGATGATTCATGATTCACGTTATATTATATTTTATACACACACACACACACACTGAATGTTTGATATAATATTTTAATATACAACTTTTTTCCGGGGGAGGGGGCCATCTTGGTATTTTAATATAGAAAGACCACCTTTTTGTTACATATTTTAGAACCAAATGATTGATGATGAGATTGATCTTTATAAACATATTTTTAATCCATCGTTTTGTCAAATAATTTCGTTATAAAATCATGTCATTTTATCACATATATTTGAAATTACAGGGTTATTCACATATTCCTTTTAAATAATACATTAATTCAAAATTTCAAACATATATTTCAAAAAAGTTCATTTCTGTTGATTAATATTTCTCTTAAAATGGCACCATTCGAATTCAAAAAAACATCAAATAAGTGCAAACCACGAACTTAGGACTGGTTGTATAATATGATACCGAGTACCTCATACAAACTATATGTTATACATATATATATATATATATTTAGGGACGGATCTATGTTGTACCTCAGGGGTAATTGCCCCTCTAAAATTTTTATTTTTATTATTATGCTCCATATATATATATATATATATATATATATATATATATATATATATATATATATTTATGAGATTGGACTAATTCAATTTTGATTTAAGGGGTAATTGCCCCTCTAAAATTTTTATTTTTATTTTTATGCTCCATATTTATATATATATATGAGATTGGACTAATTCAATTTTGATTTAAGTGGAAGATAATATCATGACGATTGACATGAACTTTATTCGTAAGTATAATTGAATGCGTCTAACCGGACACGACCACGTGACTCTTAGACAAACTATATATGATATATATATTTAGGGACGGACCCATGTTGTACCTGGGAGACAATTGCTCCTCTAAATGCTCCCTATTTTTGTCATTTTGGTGTGTGTGTATCACACATATGAAATGTTACATTTGTCTTTCTAAAATTATTCAAAAAATTCAGTATTGCTCCCTCATATATGAGATTGGACTAATTTAATTTACTTTAATTTTGATAAGAGTAAAAGATGATATCACATGATAAATATGAATTTTATTTATAAATATAATTGAATATGTTTGACCTTTCAACACGAATACGTGACCCATGGACAAATTAATCAGTGTTGAAAATAAGGGGATCATTAGAGCAGGTGGGGACGGTATACAGTGGGAGTGCCTAACAACCATCTATACGTGAAGACAGTTGGCCACCATTTACTTACGAATCCGTTTACCATTTACAATGACGCACAAACCCACTCCCATTTTAAAACCCAACACTGATTGGTACCCACCACCGTCCATTAATACATCAATTCTATGTATAGCCATGGAGTATATATATATATATAAAATCAGTTTTATGTTATATTCTCTGTGATTCGAAGAAAAAAAAAAAAAAAAAAAAAATCAAGAGAATTAAACTGAGATAGATTTTAAATTAAAATTTTGAAAATTATTGAACTTGAATATTTATCCTCATCAGAGATTCATATTGCGTTCGGGGTTAGATTATTATATGAACAGTATGGAATAATAAAATTAGAATTTATTTAAACTATATATACGGAAATGATCACTTATTTATTAATGAGTAAGAAATTGATGGAAAACTAGTTTTTCGAATTTAATTATATAAAGAAGGAAACCTTGTCCACGCTAGCTCGTACCAATGTCAACACTGGTCCATATGTCATCGCTTGCATCCCAGAGTGTCAAATCCACGCCTAGACAGGAAGTCACACCACTCTCCTTTGGCTTTTACTTCATTTTTAATATTTTAAATTACTTTTTTACAAATTAATTTACTGTTTTTAACAATATTAACATTAATTTTAGATAAAAGACAACAAAACACGCGTGGATGGATTTACATAATCGTATAGAATAGTATTATGTATAGATTTCCTGATGGAATTAAGAAAGCAATATAACCCAATTTACCTATATATATAAAATAAAATAATTTAAGTTAAATCATGAAATTAATATATATACTCAATATATGAAGGAAAAAAAAAAAAAAAAAATTTGATGGAGAGAGTTGAGGAATGAATTAATTACAGTAGTACTATATACTCACGTCTTTGAGATCTTGGTCAGTCCGGTACCCGGATTTAAGCATGGTGGCTGCAACATAAATTGCCAAGCTGATCTTCTTCCCGTACTTGTGAGTTGCCTCAGTTACACTCAGTCCTCCTGCACTGTGCCCCACCAATATTACCTGCAAAACACACACAAACACACACAATTATCTCGTAGTTGCAGAAAAAAGCTGTCAATAAGACTAAACAAGCATATATATATATAGCATTATAGCAATTGTATGAATATGTATATATAAAGATGATCGAATTAATATATGCATGTATATATATGTGTGTGATATATTTAGCCTCCAATAATATATGTATATATATACACACATATGTATATGAAAACGCACAAATATTACAAGTTAAGTTGCATAAAAACATCATGTTGCTTAAAATTTGATATGATTAGTGCACATAGTCTCATAGACCCCAAATGAGACTAAAATGTTTTATGCATATAGATGAACTAATGCAAGCTTTCTACTATATATATTATATGTGTGTATATATAGATATAGATATAGATAGATAGATATAGAGAGAGAGAGGGGACCTGTTCTTCCTCAGGCAAGGCAGACATGAAGTCCATGAGTGGCTTATTGTAGTCTTCAAAAGAAAGAACTGTGTTGGCATCGGATCGATCGATTCCGGCACTTTTGAGGTCAACGCACGACACTCTGTAGCCGGAATTCTCCATGAGACATCTGATTTTATACCAGCACCACCCTCCTCCACTGATCCCATGTATCAGCACAAAGTGAGGCTTCAAGGGCGTTTTCGTCATTTCAGCAACATCCTCTCCCATGGCCTCCTCTCTCTTTATCAGCATCTCCCTCTCTCTCTGAGTTTGCTGATTCTCTCATTTATAGTTGGAATAGTCATACAAGTGATCATTATATAGGCTTATCTTGTATTAGTAGTTGTAATTTGGAGTAATGGTTAATTAAGTGGAGATAAAAACTATATTCATATGATAATAGATATTTGTGGGACCCACACTCCTATATTACCTACTCCTATATCCTGAGAAACTATTACCTACTCCTTCAATCCCATATTAATAGTCACTTTGGGCGTGCCAAAATATTTAAGATATTGATTAGAGTCCCAAAATTAGATAAATTCAATATAAATAAAGACCGATGTTATTAATATTCCTGTATGACATTACCTTTTACTCTCTATTATTACTTAAATATTTATATTTAATATGATAATTTTAAAACAAAGACAATACATTAAGTGCATATTCTTAATATAAAAAAAGATAAAGTATTTATTTATTTATTTTGGCGGACCATAGCATTGTAGAGCTTCTTGAAACATCCATAATCCACTAGATCCATAATCCACTAGGCACACATGAGTGTATTAAATGCACAATGATAATGTTTATTCACTGTCACATATATTTATTTTGAATTTTAAAAATAATAGAAAAAATTAAGAATTTTTTTTTTTTACATATCTTAATTTTAAAACAGACACCTATACTTTTATCATCGTGACAAATTGGTGATAAGAAGAAAGCCCCCATTCACAGAACTACTATTTCATTTGTGATACTTAGGTTGAGATTTAAGTTCTTACAAGGACGAACGGATATGTGTGAAGATACTGATCAACATACTACATCAACGGCTGGGGTTCATGTATGATTGAAGTCTATGGATCATTAGGGTGGACTGAAGCACTTGTGATTACAAAATAACCATCCAAATTGCATATATTACCATCATGAACAGTTTTCTCAAGTGTGTCATCATCACGGTACTTACTCATCAAAACTCTAAGGCCCACTCATATATATCATGGGCGGCTGACCCAGCTCTTGGGTAAGACCGTAAAGCTGCGGTCTTTATTAAATTACAGCCGTCGGACCTATATAAAAAAAATCATCATCAATTATTCAATTTAGTACACTAACGAATTGGAATTTGGTGTTATATTCCGTTTATTTGGGTATAAAATATTTTTATTTTTTAAATAAAATATTATTTTTATTTTTATTTTTATTTTTATTTGTGTTTAACAAAAATTTAGGTCAAAGTTGAAATCGAACGAATAAATTATTATTGTTAGATTTTAATATATATTTTTTTCGTAAATATTTCTCGATAACTAAACACTTAAAAAAAATTACATTCAAACAAACCAAAAGTGTGGAACCAAATTGTATCACTCGACAAATATTTGCATATCTTGATCGTATAAATTTTTAGACATTTTCTCAAAATTTGATATTTCAATCGTATAAACTTTTAGACATTTTCTCAAAATTGGATATCTTTGGAAATGGGGGACTTGTCAATGAATACAGAAGCAAAAAATTGGGTATGTTTTTTTGGGTTCTGATCAAATAAAGTAATCCATTTTGAAAATCTCAAATGTCGGATTTCCGACAATAATTTGTTTATATAATTAATTTATTGGGTAGATTGCAGGCCGACAATATCCTATTTTTTATGATCATTTATTTATTATTCCTATAATTTATTTAAAAACAAGCTTGTTGTTTGCTCTTATCTGATTATCTATGCTTTATAAATAATGAAATGCCAACACGTCGAAATTTTCATTGAATTAATGGAAGTTGATGGATAGCAACCATGTCCATAAAAAAATAAAAATAAAAAAATAAATAATAATATCGGTTTGTCTTTACTTGAAAATTGACTAAAATAAAAACAGACTGACTTATTATATTTCAACTCTTCTCCTGGTCAATTTTTCTGTTTTTTTTTTTTTTATTCTATAAAATAATTAGCCTAATGTTTTATCGGGATTAATCTCACTCTAAAGTTGAGATACCATATTTAAACAATAAAAATAATCAAAAACAAAGTTAGTGTAAATTAATATTGCATATGTGCATAGAATTACGTCTTGATCATAAAAATAATCTCTTTTTAGTGGAGCTTTTCGCATTTTCTTTTTAACTTATTGTAAAAATTTAAAAGGAAAAAAAAAAATCAGACAATATTTCAGTTAAGGAAACAGAATGAATTTTATTTTACTTTTTCGAAATATAACTATATATATATATAAATCCATAAGGATCTTCATCTTATTATTGTTCCCTCAATTATTATTTATGTTAGTAGGGTTTGTGGCATAAAATTCAGATAAAGTACGGATGGACTATAAAAAGGCAGTAGAAAAAGTAGGTAAAAGTAACTGCTTCCATCGAAAACTGAGCCCTCAATGATATGAGATATCTTTATATCTCAATGTCAATTATATGTTAATCATATAAAAGTTTAGACCACTCATTCATCTACTTTACATTCCTAACTAGCTTTGGAGGTTTTAGCCCCCAATAGCTAGGTTGTAATTGTAATATTTCTTTTTCTAATTTTTCTTCTTGGTAAAATATTGTATGTTTAACCATGTAACACACATTGATATTATGTATATTTCTTCATAGTGTATTCAACTTAATGAAGTCTTTCTTGATCGTGCTTAGTAGTATATAGGGTGAGCCATATTGACCATTCAGCTCTATTTATAATTCATAACCTCGAGTAAATCACGTACTATCATTCTATTTATATTGATTTCTTTTTAAAATTTGGACAAATTACATAAGGGTAGATCGTTCAGTAACTAAAAAGTGACATTAAGTATGAAAAGTCAATAAATGTGTTTATATTGTATTTGCATTTTATATGAATGAATGACAAAATTGTTATTTTTTAAAAATTTTGATTAACAGATTTATTAGAAAGAAAACATTAACGATGTTGTCGAACACACACACGAATCACAAAGAATGTCAAAATATACAAAATAATAAACGGTGAATAGTTTATGGTGTTTAATTATTCTTTCATTTTTATTTTATGTTTTTGGGTAGTTTGAATTGGAACCCAACTGCAAAGGGATAAGACAATTAATATAATACAAGTGGAGTTATTAAATTTATATAAGCTTCTTTTTTTTTTTTTTTTTTTTTTTAAATATTAGTTAAAGATACTGTCATTACTAATAGAGCATGTCAATATGACGTGGGCTATATGTCAAATGGAAGACAGCAATGAAGTAAAAGTTGAATGGAAGAGTCCATAAACTAAATGTCAAGGTAGGATATAATAATAATTTATATCTCAATTTACAATGAAGTAGGTACCACCACATAAACATAGTTAATCTTTCCATGCACGAAAATATACTCCCTTTTGCAAACTTAACTTTCTAGCTCACCAAACACCAAAGCTTCAGATGGTTGGAGGATCCCTCTCGTCACATATGTGTGTGTGTTTTGTGATGAGTGATTGCCCTCCTTTATAAAGCTTTGATTTGTAATATTTTTGGAGATTAAAAGAATATCATGTTAATTGGATGTTTCTTAGATTTTGAGGAAAAAAAAAAAAGAAAAAAAAGAAAAAGAAGAAGAAGCTTTTCTCATCTTCAAAATGATTATAAATGAACACTTCAGAAACACACTAGCTAGGGTAGGAATTGATGTGATGTTTCTAATAACTTTGCATGATTGTTTTTTATTTTTATTTTTATTTTTTGGGATTTATTATTATTATTATTATTATTATTATTTAATTAGTACTCACACACAAATACTTTAACTGAGACTAGAATCTCTGACCTACCTTATGGAAGAGTTATTTTTGAATCAGTACTCACACACAAATACTTTGACTGAGACTAGAATCTCCGATCTCCCTTATGGAAGAAAGATCCTGATATCGTTAGGTCACTGTCCCATTCGTACTCAACCTAAGTCATATATAGCGAGAACGGGAGCGGAAACGGGAGTAAGAGCGAATTTAAAAGCAAAAACATGAAAGCAGCCAAATTAAGTTACAAATAGTGAAAATAAAAAAGGGAGCGTGCACGAAGCGTAAGAACACTCGGAACATGAGATCAATACTAATTAAGAAGAATTTTGTGACTTAATACTCAACTTTACCAACAATATAAATCTTATTTGTTTAAGAAATATTTGTCACACCACTTGGCCGTTAGTCCAAATAGGCAGGGATGTGAGTTGGAGCCCTATAGTTGATACTTGTGAGTGTACATGTGCTAGTGAGCACGTGACTATTATTAACCTAACCGGGGAAAAAAACAGGTCACATTTTGCTGCAGCTTATAATTGTGGTGCATAGACAATTATTTATGTGATGTTAACTATTTCTGGGCCATGGCATGGAAAAAAGTATGTTTCTCTTTGAGCACACAAAGTTCTCGAATGGAAAAGAAGAAAATCTGAAGGCCAACTGAGCATGCAGGGACAGATGTGATGTACATACATGTCCATGTACAGTGTCCTCCAAGAAGAGGAGGTGGTGGTGAAGCCACGTTTTGTTGTCTCCATGAGTGCTTGACAGTCCTTGCATTTTCCATTACACACGAGAAAACTTGTGATGTCACATATAGATGGATATCGGCATGACCTAGTTCGTGTGATGTGACAGATAAATATATATGGTTACGACCTAATTGATGAGCGTTCAGCTTCCTAAATGAGTGTGGGCGTTCATAAGGGCGGGACTATCAAAACGTCCTTCTTTTTTTTTTTTTTTTTTTTTTTTTTTTTTTTTTTTCATTATATAGTTATATACAACTTTCAGTAATTCCATTTAGATAAAGGATTGGAAAAATCCAATAAAAATAAAAATAAAAATAAAGAAATTGGAATGGTAAATGGAGTAGCCTTTTACCTGAATTAATCACCAACCATAATTATGCTAAAACTGAAACAAACATTGGCTTCTAGGACAAACTTGCTGTCCAAGCACTTGAATGAATTGAGACTAGAAATGTCATTAGTAGGTATCTTAGATTCTTAGAACTAAATATGAGAATTTATTCATCACCTCCATATTTTTGCCATCCAAATGGAAAAAAATAATAATAAAAAAATAAAAACTTGAAAATTCCAGAAAAGATTTGTTTTCACACTTCAGCTTAAAATGTAAATAATTGGATTTCAACTCATTATACAAAAACAACATTTGCAGAAAACATCTCAGTAAAATTTTCTGTAATTGACCACTTTGTTTTGAACTCATTATAAACTTGAAAACAAATTCCGGATTCGTCTAGACCCAAAAATTACGGTACAAAAACAATATAACACAGAAAATTGAGCTTGAATTCTGAGATCGCGGACACACATCCTTACCCATAGATGTGACCTGTTTGTCGACGTCATGGTTCAAGAATCTGAATCTGACTCTCTATCAGACTGCAATTCTAAGGGCTTTATTCTGTCACAAAGGTCCTGTTTGTCGACGTCATGGTTCAAGAATCTGAATCTGAATTAGACTCTCTATCAGACTGCAATTCTCAGGGCTTTATTCTGTCACAAAGGTCCTGTTTGTCGACATCATGGTTCAAGAATCTGAATTAGACTCTGTATCAGACTGCAATTCTAAGGGCTTTATTCTGTTCATATTGGCTTCTATTGGGGGAAGTTCATCATCATCACTTGAGTCGAGTTCATTCTCTCCCTGCAAAGAAGTGTGTCCCTGTGAAATTCCACTAGGATTATCTAGGACTGGGGTTTTGAAAATTTCTGGCCTGCAACAATAATCCAGCAAGCATGACAACAAATAAGCACCATAAAGAGAAAAAGATTAAAATAAATAAATAATTTGGAGACTGAAAATGTAACAATTAATTTCATCCTGAGATAATAAGGAGCGGTTCATGAGCCATTTGTTTAAGAGTCATAAATAAAATAGAATAGAACAAATATCTCTTTGAGCAGTTATTCACTCTCGGTAGCACAAATCCCCCAATATGGGCAAACATGAGTCCTCACTTCACTTGCTCCAAAATTTCAGGGAGCGACTGTCATGCATTGTCCCAGAAATAGAATATCTAGCAGTCACCAAAGTTCCAAAGTTAAAACCAATATGTTATACCAGCCATTATCAGATAAGCTGCTTAACAACTAATCATAAGCTAAACTGGACTAGCGGGTTATGTGGTATCTAATTGATCTACCACCCGTAATGTTAGGGGCTCAAGTTGCCTTGTTTCCTAACCCGGGGGAAAAAAAAAAGAAAAGAAAAAGAAAGAAACAAACAATAATCAGAAGCTAAGCTAGATGCAGGCAAGGTGAATGCAAACTTCTGTAAAAAAATTAGGTGATAATTTGGAAGGGATCAAGAGTCAGTTGAGTTGTTTAAATTTGAGCTTATTGAATTGCTATAGTCTGATGTTTGAAATCAGTTCAACATATGTTATTTTGATGTCAATATAATAAAGTTAACAAAACTATTGCAAATTTGCAACAAAACAATTATGCGGAGTGGGGCTCAGTTTTTAACCGATGAGTGGATTGGCTTTGTTATACAATCAAAACCCTTCTTTGTTGATCAAAGTTTAAAAACAAAGATAATGCAAAAGAAGAACTCTAAGGAATTTAACAACATATGTAGTCTTAAGCACAAACCATTCTGGAGAGTTTTTTAGCGCACGGACTTGTTCATAGAAAAGAACTTGAGAAACCATACATCCAACTTTTCTCCCAGATTCAACAGCCTCTTCCCTTCCACTTTCATCAACCACAACAAAGTTCCCTGCTTATAGAAAAAACAGCTTATTATCATTTTAATGCATTTTGTTACCAGACAATGGGTACACAAAAAAGAATGCATTTATCATTCAACCATTGTGAACAATATGGTTCTCCGTGTTGCCTGAATAACCAAATCAACTTAATAATGCTGGAAGGTCAAAAAATTAATACACAGGGAGTAACACCCCAACCCATAAAATGCCTATTCATTAATCATCCAACCAGAGACAGCCCATCAACTAAAGTAAACCCGAGTATCTCATGAAAGTAGTGAATATACTAGACAAAATGGACAAAAAGCATGAAGCAGATTTATTCTATACTCAATAAGTACCAATATGCAATTGGGGTTGATATCATTTCCTATCCTACGAACGAATATATCCATACTTGTTCATCATTGGAAGGACCTATTCGTCATAATTTTCCTTTACTCATTCTGTCTTCCAGGGAAATAACACCAACCAGTATAGAAATATACGAATTAAAATATCTGCAAGTTTCCATTGAAAAATAGTAGTTCTAACAGTGGACTTACTCTAGAGAGAGCTTCTTAAATAGCAGGCAAAAAGTGTATTAATTATATATATATATATATATATAGAGAGAGAGAGAGAGAGAGAGAGAGAGAGAACAAACCTCGCTTTATCCACATGCTTTTCTGGAATTTAGCTGGAAACAATGCCAGTGATTTCTCGCCTTTTGCATCTAGTACCTTGTAGATAGAAAAAAAGTAACAAAAAAATTATACTGAAATCCCAATACTACATTACACATATATATACACTATAAAAGCGAAAAAAGAAAAAATTGCAATTTCAAGACCTTTCCCAATTTAAACAAACCGAAAACTAGTCGACTCAATTCAACATGTATCATTTATATCTATATATGTGTATATATGTATGACCTTACTTCAATGAGATTGGAACCTCGAAGGGACACAACTTGCATGATGCTCTGACCTTGTTGAAGAGTTAAAGTCTCTTCCTTCACTGCCCTCTTCAGATTTTTCCTTCCTCTTTTCATGGCCCTCTTTGGATTTCACTTATATTCCTCACTCGAATGCACAGCACAACCAAAACCCTATAAGCCCTAAAACCAAATTTGGGGATTGGGGTTTTCTAAGTCCGTTGAGATGAGACCAGGCAGTTATCATCGCGCTCTACTATAAAATTACTAACTTACCCCTCGAATAAGTCTCAACGATAACAGTGACGGGCATGTTGTTAAATACTAAATGACAGACAAATACAGGACGTTGTTTTTGTAGAAAAAGTTTAAAATGATTTCGATGAAGTTTCATTTCATCGTTGGTCCGGTCACTCTAGTAACAATTCCATTTTAGGTTTCAAACTGTTCGGGAAGTAGAAACTCCAACTCGCGCGTGGTTTATCATCCAATCGGCCATGCCAGCTTCTTGATTCAATTTCCCTAAATTTTCAGGTTCGAAATACAGTTCCTCTCTCTCTAGATACAATATATATTTGCATATATGTAAATATATATGTATGTATCTGCACAAACACACAGACTCACAATCGTATTTATATTACTCTATTGGTTCCTAATTTTATTTTAGTGAATTTTCATTTTATAATATTGGATTCATTTGCAATGATATGTTGATAAATTGACCTAGCTCTTGTAAAATTTAACTACGCATGCTAATTTATCGTATATTGTTGTTTAATATCTCAAATTGTGGAAGCTACTATTAGGGTTTTAGAATGCTACTTGTATAGATTCAATTATGATTCACTATAAAGCTTCTATCTTTAAATATAATTGAATTGAAGTTAATTTTTAATTCTAAGTGTAGTTATTTGTATCTTGTGCGAGTAGTGATGGGTCGAAAGAAGCAAGTCCGGCCTCATCGATCAGTAGGGATAGTAGAAAGAAGTGATGCTGTAGGAGGTGAATTGAATGACCAAGATGGTTCTGGAAGCCAGTCTGTACAAAAGGATGAGTCTGTTAATGTTGATGAACCATTTTTTGTTGAGGTTGATCGAACAAATTGGGTTTCAGATGAGCATTTTGATATTTCGGAAGTTCTTTTGATGAATTTGAATTTAAGCACTGAGTTTTTGGATTACAGACTGGATGAGGATTTTTATGGGGATTCGAAGTACTATTTAAGATTTAGACTGTGCAACATAAATGAGTTTCTCGGTCGTATCAAGCTAGGACATTGGCCTTTGTTATCTGCCAGCAGTATATATTTGGAGTTTATAAAGAAGCACATATTGGAGGATACGGAGACACAGGCTGTGATGGTGTCAGGGAGTTTTGATGGCCCGGACGAGGGTGTTTCTGGTCTTGTTCACTTGATTAGTATGAAGTATTTGACATTGAGACCGATTACGGGGGTCACATTTTCGGAGAGCATGTCATCTATAAGGGTGAGAGTGGAGATACTAAAGACCGCCTTTGATGCCTGTGAGTCACTTCTTGATAATACAAGGCAAGTTTGGAAAAAGAGTATGATGAGTGTCATGGCTTGGCTGCGTCCAGAAGTTATGACTTCAGAGGCTAGATATGGTTTTAATATATCAGCTGACGTGAAACTCAATTTACCTATGGAAACAGATATCGACTCCTCTAGCTCAAGGAAACGTATCAGGTTTGATGCTGCTGGGTTTTATGAAGCCATCAAACCATCAAAGTAAGTTGTAATACGCTAATTAAAATTTATCCTTTCAGCATCTTCCAATATTTTTATCTTTTAATAGTTGTTTCATATCAGTGGTGGTGTTTACATACAGAGGGGATCCCATGCTGGAGGATAACATACCTGGCTTGATTCCTGAGCTTAGACCATATCAACGTCGTGCAGTTTACTGGATGGTACAACGAGAGAAAGGAGCTTCTAGATGCATGGACGAAAGTGAAAGAACTCAGTTTCTTTCTCCTCTATGTATGCCTGTGAATTCAATTGATACATGTTTGAGAATGTTTTACAATCCATTCAGGTATGATTATCACTACAGTTTAAAAGTTTGGCCTTATATTTTTTGTCTGACATCCTGGCCATGGAAAAATTGGCATACTGATTATCAGTTACTTGAATTTGGTTGTGTCATTTTGCTTTACTTGGGCCCTTTTCTCTTAAATTTTGACCATCTATTTTTTCTTTCATTGCTGTATGCTTATATCACATTATATGTCCTTTTGGCTTTCTTCTATTCACCTTCAAGTTAAATTACATCACTTTTTTTCATCCCTGCATACTTTTTCTTTGTTGCATACATGTTTGGCACTGTGGCTATTCTATTCTGTCCTGCCACTCATCCATTTCAAATTTCAGTTATGTCCTTTCACATGGCCATGTTGCTTTTTGTTGCAACTCAAATGTACCTTGACAGTTCGAGTGAGACATTAACAGTTTAAGATGGTGAGGCAGTCT